GTGATTTGCCATTGCCTCCTTCCTAGGGCTGAAAGAGAGTGACCGGCCCAAGGTCACCCAGCTGGCTTTGTGCCTCAGGCAGGACTAGAACTCCCGGTCTCCCAGTTTCTATCCTGGTGCCGTAACCACCACACCAAATTGGCTCTCTTGTAACTGAATGCCACCTCAAAAATATATGCTAAACTCTCACTTTGAAACTCTGAATGGCTTGGAATACTGGCCTGCCCCATCCCAGAGCTTTGTTAATGTTAACACTTTTTAATATGATTTGTATCAATAACAATGGCAATCATAGCAACAACAAAACGATAACAACGACAACATTCCTATCCTGCCTTTCTTTCTGAGCTGCCTGGAAAAAAGGTGGGAAATATGTGTAGTTAATATTGTTATTATTTCTCTCCAAATCTGAGAAGCAGATGAGGATGATCCTCCCCCAAAGTCACCCTGAAATCTCTATGTTGAGGATGCTGAAAATGCTGAGCATGGACTTGAACATACAGCTCTGCAATCACAGTCCAACCCCCTTCCCAGTCTCTCCCTTCTGTTATTTAGGGCAGCATCTCTCTTGGCATAAGATGATACATTTTAAGCTCGAGGTTATGAAGGTGAGAGAGGCCATCATTGCTGATGTGGTTTGGCCCTGTCATAGTACTGTATTGTCCAAACAGACAAAGGGCGAGATGAGTAATAAACTCTTGTCAGGGTTTCCTGAAGGAATGAATTGCTGGGGTGTGTATCTCAGACTGATGTCCACTGTTAATGTTAAGTAGCTGTTTCAGGTATGGGACACTGAGTTTTTGAAAAGAAGAGTAATTTTTTAGAATAAGCTACAGATCTTATTTAAGTTAAAAAATTAACTTAAGTTTAATATTATTCCATTGCTTTTTCTGTTGAATTTTTCCTATACTAGGTGACTTTTGGAATTGTCTGACCTTGATACCTGATTTTCTTTACTCGGGTTAGCACTGTAGATTTAAGAATGCCCAATGTAAAATCTTGCAAGCATTTATTTATGTTCCAAGGACTGGAGAAAATATAGCTATATGACAAGGCTTAGTAGTAGATCACAGAAGGCAGTTGGCAGAAGGCATGAATATATAACATTGAGTAAGTTTCCAGGGTAGGATAGTATTTATCTAGTAAAACTATGCTTTCTGGAAAGAAAACTTGCTGCACTGTGTGTGTGTGTGTGAATTTTAGGTTAGTGAACTATGGAGATGAATTCCTAGAAAATTCTAAAGGGCCTCTTCCTTTCGAATAAATATGTCACATAAACATCTTAAAGGAAAGAGGAAACACTTGGAGACAGATGCTGAAGAAATGTTGATTCCTGTCAGCCATAAAAAATATAGCTGTTGAACCTATATGGAGAATACTATGAAATATTTACATGGAACACAAACATACAGAACTTATGCAATGACTGTCATTTTAAGCCATACCTCATATGGCTATTTGAGAGGTCAACAGTAGAAATATGTGGTCTATAAGTATGAGAGATGATATAAAGTATGTAGATGCAGTACATATAACCAGATATTCCTGCTGTCTGAAGCTTGTATGGAGCACTGGTTGAATATGTGAAAATCAAGTCATGAAAGCTTATTTTTAATTTTGATTAATTTGCGGTGAGTGCAACATAATTTTTTATTTATGATCTAGTTTATTTTTTTCTCTCTAGTGTGTGTTTGGTGTGAGGCCCTATTATCTGCACTAGAAAAAAGAAAAAGAAAGAAAAGTTATGCTGCACAGAAGATGATCTTCTATATTGTTTGAATTTTGTATTATGACTTCAAGGAAAAGGAAAACTAGCCAGAGTCCCCTCCAATAATTATAAAATGTCAATGGAAGTTTTGTATCAATGTAAAATATATGATGTAACTCTCATGAAGAAACTACGTATTCACCCTATGGTTTTTAAAGCCATAAATATATAAGGTATAGCTTGATTCTATGGATTTATCCATTCTGTTTTCTTGGTAACAATATGAACATGTTTGCCAACTGCAAAATTCAGAAAACATCATGGAAGAAGGCCATCTTCCAGGAAATAATAATAGCCCTGCTATTTCCTAGTGAAGACCTTTCAAAGTACTAAAAGGTCTAGCCCTGCACAGTAAAGACCAACTCATTAAAAATGGAGACAACTGCTAATTGTTTTTACAGAAACTGAAGAAACATAGTGGTGATATGTCATGGAAATGGAGTCGTGACAAAAAATGGAAAATATATAGGATGTGCTTTGTCGCTTGGCTTCTTTAATCTGAATTTTTAACCAATACAGAATTACCACTTAAGATATATAAAAACAAAGCAACTCAACTCTGTTTCATAAACAATGTTTTACAATAATATATAGGTAACAAAGTCCATATTATACAATAAGCCATGTGTTCATATCCATCACTCTGTCACTCACACTGCTTCTGATTAAAGGATAGAATTTCCAGTTAAGAACTAGAGGAAGAATATTCTAGAATAGCACTAATTGGAATGTAAAAGGGATAGTCCCCATTCTTAACTACAAAGAATGTTTCCATGATTAAAAATGGATCTTTTAAAAAATGAATATATGTTAGTCAATAGCTGCAGTATTATTCATCCTCCAATTCTCTTTTGACTGCATAGTTTTAGTATATATTTTTTTTTTATTATTCTTTATTTCCTGATGCTATGCAAATACACTGAGAGCTCTTTGCACCAAAGTTAAATTCCTTGTATGTGTAATCATACTTGGC